TATGGGGCAGTTCTACTCTGTCTTAAAGGGTCACTATGAGTCAGAATCAACTCAATGGCAGTGAGTGGGTTACACTAATATTGCCTCATTAAGGTAACAAACCCATTCCTAAATGGGATTATAACCACAGGTGTAATATCAATTGCAACTAATATAACTATAGGAACAACATGTGTTTTTTTGAGACACAGTTCTATCCCCAACAGTCTACTCTTTGGCTCCCCAAAATTCATGTTCTTGCCATGTGCAAAACACCATCACATCATCCCAAAAGTCCTGTCCCATTCCAGCATCAACTCTTAAATCCAAAATCTCATCTTCTGGATCATTTAAATCAAGTATGGGTGAGACTTTGGATATGTTCTGTCCTGGGGAAAAGTTCTTTTTCATCATTGGACCTGTGAAACCTAGAGTAGAAGTTATCCATTTCCAGAGTACAATGGTGGAATAAACACAGTGTAGATGTTTCCATTACAAATGGGAGAAATTGGAAAGTAGGGTTCATGAGCACTGAGCAAGTCTAAAATTCAACAGAATAACCTACATTAGTTCTCAGGGCTTGAAAATGACCCTCTGTTCTCTAGGACAGTCTGGGCAATGACCCTACCCTTCAGACTGTGGGTGTTGGTCAAGTTCTCCACATTCTGGGTGGAGGCTCATTGGCCCTGGGCATGAACCCCTCCTTCCAGGTCCACTGGATAGCCCCATTCTCCTAGTCCACCTTAGTTCGGATCCTACTCCCTCAGCCCCTTGTGGCTCCATCCGAACCTGGCCTTTGCAAATGATAGCCTCCCCTTCTTAGCTTTGGGCAGTGGCCCTATTCTCTTGGCCCGCCTGTACAACAGCCTCACGTTCTAGAACTGAGGTAATGGAGATCTGACTCTTTGAAGCCTAGGAGGTGGTTTTCTCACCCTTTCAAATGGAGGCAGTCCTGCTAGCCATGATCCTTCCAACAATTCTGCTGATCTCCAGGATGATGCCTTCTGGTTCTTGGAGGACAACAGATGTTTGCAATTAAGTCATTCTGTTGACTTGTGTTACAGATTGAATTGTGTCCCCAGGAAATATGTGTTGTAAATCCTAACATCTATGCCTGTGGTTATAATTTCATTTGGGAATGAGTTGTCTTTTATATTAATGTGGTAGGATTAGTGTAGAATATGTGTTAAATCCACCACTTCTCTGTCAGTTTGTTGTACTGTGGTGGCTTGCATGTTGCTGTGAGGCTAGAAGCTATGCCACCAGTATTTCAAATCCTAGCAGGGTCACCAATGGTGGAAAGATTTCAGCGGAGCTTCCAGACTAATACACACTTGGAAGAAGGAAAGGGCCATCCACTTCCAGTGAAAACCTTATGAATAGCAGTGATTGAAGCTGTCAAAGATTTCATATTACTTGGTTCCAAAATGAACACCAGTGGAAGCAGCATTCAAGAAATCAGATGACATACTACACTGGGCAAATCTGCTGCAAAAGACCTCTTTCAAGTGCTGAAGAGCAAAGAAGTCTCTTTGAAGACTGAGGTGCACCTAACCGAAGCCATGGTGTTTTCAACCACCTCATATGCGTGTGAAAGCTGGACAATGAATAAGGAAGACTGAAGAAGAGTTGATGCTTTTGAGTTGTGGTGGTGATGATGAATACAGAAAGTACCATGGACTGCTAGAAGAACTAACAAATTTGTCCTGGAAGAAGTGCAGCCAGAATGCTCCTTGGAAGCAAGAACAGCCAGACTTCGTCTCACCTACTTTGGTCTTGTTGTCAGGAGGAACCATTGCCTGGAGAAGGATATCATGCTTGGTAAAGTGGAGGGTCCCTGAAAAACGGGAAGGCCCTCAACGAGATGGATTGACACAGTGGCTGCAACAATGGGCTCAAATATAGCAAGTATTGTGAGGCTGGCACAGGACCCAGCAGTGTTTTGCTCTGTTGTACATAGGGTCGCTATGAGAGCCAATTCAACAGCACTTAACAATATTGCTATGAGTCGGGTTGGACTCGACAGCACATAACAACACAACAACAGCATGTGTTCAAGCCATCTCTTTTGAGATATAAAAAAGACTAAACAAGCAAGTGAGAAGCAGAGACGGGGGAACAGAGATGGCAAGCTACGTAAAGATCACTCAGGAGCAGAAGCTCAGAAGAGATAAAGTCTTTCCTCCAAGGCCAACAGAAAGAGAGAGCGCCTTCCCCTCGAGCCAGCACCCTGAATTAAGACTTTTAGCCTCCTAAACTGTGAGAAAGTAGTTTGTTAAAAACTCACTGCCATTGAGTCACTTCCAACTCATAGTGACCCCCATTGAGTATCCAAGGCTGTATATCTTTACAGAAGCAGACTGCCTGACTCATCTTTCTTTCCCAGAGCAGCTGGTGGGTTCAAACTGCTGATCTTCTGGTTAGGAGGCAAATGCCTTAACTACTACACCACAGGAGCTCCTTTTGTTTGTTAAAGCCATTCATTTTTTGTAATTTTGTATAGCAGCACTAGGTAACTAGCCTGTGCCCTGCCTGTAGATTTCCAGAAGGTAGGCAGCTTTCCTTCATTTTGAACTATCTCTCTACCTTTCTGTTGAGTAGACCATCAGTCACAGGTTCAATCTCTTGAACAAAAGAATGAGTAGCCATACCTTTGGTGAAAGTTTTTCCATGACACATTTTCTTAGTTTGTACAACAGAATTGTTCAAGTTCTGGTTTCATTTTGTACAGTTCATTATTTCTTTCACCTCTCATTTTACTTACATAAGCAGCAAGGAGAAACCACATAGCCCCTTTAAGATCTTGCTTGGAAATCTTTCCAGCCAAATATCCAAGTTCACTTACAAGTTCTTCCTTCCAAACGATTGGACATAATTCAGACAAGTTCTTTGCCACTGCATAAAAGCATCGCTTTCTCTCCAGTGTCCAATCACATGTTCGTTTCCTTTCAGAGTCTCACCAGAAGCACACTTAATGTTCATATTTCTAGTAGCTTATTGCTTATGATGTTAAACTCTTTCATCACAGCTCTCAGTTCTTTCTGAGCACTCACCATAATCACCCTTAATATCCATAATTCTGCTAACAGTCTCTTTAAGGCAAACCAGGGCTGCCTTATAAAGCACATCATTCCTCCAACCTTCTACCCATTATTCAATTCCAAAACCACTTCCACATTTTAAGTTTTGTTAGAGCAGCACTCTACTCCCAGTACCAAATTCCTTCTTAATTATCTAGTGCTGCTATAACAGGAATAACACAAGTGGTGGCTTTAACAAACAGAAATTAGTTTTTTCACAGTTTAGGAGATTGGAAGTCAGAATTCAGGTTACCAACCCTTGGGGAAGGCTCCTTGTCCTTTCAGCCTCTCTTCAGTTCCTTGGTGATCTGCATGTGGTATCTGTCCCCCTTCTGTGCTTCAGTGCTTCTGTGCTTTATCTGCCCCTTTTGTATTTAAGAAGTGATTGGCTTAAGACATTCCCCACACTGATGAATTAACATAACAAAGAAAGCACTATCCCAAATGGGATTACATGCATTTACACAAAACCAAAAGCCAAAACTATTGCCATCTAGTTAATTCTGACCCATAGTGTCCCTGACTCCTAGTGACCCTATGGGAGCTCTGGTAGCATAGTGCCTAAGGCATTTGACTGCTAACCAGGAGGCTGGCGGTTCAAACCCATCAGCCACTCCTCGGAAGGAAGATGGGGCAGTCTACTTCCGTAGTGATGTTGTTGTTGTTGTTGTTGTTATTTGCCATCGAGTCGCCACGACTCGTAGTGACCCCTCCTTGGGTTTCCGAGGCAGTATCACTACGGAAGTAGGAATGCCCAACCTTCCTTCCGAGGAGTGGCTGGTGGGTTTGAACCGCCAGCCTTCTGGTTAGCAGTCAAGTGCCTTAGGCACTATGCTAGAGAGCTCCTGTAGTGATACTGCCTCGGAAACCCAAGGAGGGGTGTCTATGAGTCGTGTCCAACTCAACGGCACATAAAAATAAACAACAACAGTGACCCTATAGGACAAAGTAGAACTATCCCGTAGAGTTTTCAAGGAGCAGACTTTACTGGAGCAAACTGCCACATTATTCCCCAGTGGAGTGGTTCGTAGGCTTGAACTGCTAACCTTTCAGTTTGCAGTTGAGTGCTTAAGCACTGTACTACCAGGGCTCCTATCACAGGTATACTACTAAAACCCACTGCCATTGAGTTGATTCCAACTCAGAGACCCCCATTAGGTTTGCAAGGCTGTAAATCTTTACAGAAGTAGATTGCTTCATCTTCCTCCCACAGAGCAGCTGGTAGGTTTGAACTGCCAACCTTATGGTTAACAGTCAAATGCCTTATACACTGGACCACCAGAGCTCCTTATCCACAGGTTGTGGGGGTTAAGATTTACAACATGTATTTTTGGGAGACACAGTTTAATCCATAGCAGATGTCTGCTCTGGGCAGATAAAACCTGAACACAAATAACTTATGCAAGGTAGAAACCATTTGGTTCTATGGGAGAGGCACGTGCGTATAAAATGCTACACACTTCAAGCTTCTATTGTGTGAGGTGCTGTACTGGAGATGTGGTAGCCCAAAAAGGGTCACATTTTGCCCACATACAGCTTTCAGCTATCAGTGAGAGAAGAGCTGGCCATAAATAACCACAGTACAATGTAGAAAATAGTGAATGTTGTGAGCATAGGTGTTTTTCTTCCAGCAACTGGAAGAAGTCAGGAGTGACTTCATGGAGGAGTTAGCCTGGAAGGATAGGGAAGAGTTGGTCATAGAGCTAACACAGTGTGTTTCACCACATGGGGTATGAATGCCTTCTATTAGGCCATTGCTTGATCCCAGCTGCAGCCAATACCACCAGTGCTTTAGCTTCTTCCTTCCCCTCCATAGACCTCTGCCTCCTGCTGGCTACTCCAGAGCATATGTCTCCTTGGGTGAGCCCACCCTGGGTCATGGGAAGGGCCTGGGGTCAAGGGGCCCGAGCAGAGTAGGACTGAGGTGTTCTCCTCCTGCAGGCCTCTCCCTGGAACGCCTACCCAACTCCATTGCTTCCTGCCACCGCCTGACAGAGAGGGAGGAGGAAGTGATCACCTGCTTCGAGAGGGCCTCCTGGATTGCTCAGGTGTTTCTGCAGGAATTGGAGAAGGTGAGCCGTGGCTAAAACTCCATGGTAATAGCTGCCCTCTATGAGTTCTTCAAAAGCACTTTCCATCCAGGGGATCCTTGTGCAAATTAGGAAAAGATACCCCTCTCTGGAGATGCTCTACTTCAGTGGCTGGAAAAATGATTATAGTCTATTTCTGTTTTGCTAGAAGGAGATTCTTTACTGCCAGAAAATAGTTTTTGATAAATAAATGTGTCCACACTGTCTGTGAGGGGCCCAGAGCCTCCTCGATGGACTCAGTTTACATGACCAAATGTGACAGCTCTCTTTGTATCTGTTGACTTATTTCCTTCTTACAACAACTTTATGACTTAGGGGCCATATTTATCTCTGATTAAAAGGTGAGGAAAACTGAGGTTTAGAAAGATTAAATCATCCTTTCACTATCCTCACCTTGGTAGAGGTGGAGGCAAACTGGTGCTTGTATGCTCTCCATGCCCCAGAAACTCCCTGCTGGATCCTCTGGGGAGGTGGGGTATTGGGACTTTTCCCCAAGCCTTTCAGAGCAGGCAAAAGAGCAGGTTTTCAGCAGTTCTGAGACCTCCTCATCTCCCAGCTTCCCCTCAGTGGACCTGTATTAACTCTCTGCAGGATTTTAGCAGCCTGCCATGGTTATCTTCTGCTTCTGAATGGCTGTTGGTTTACTCGGGGGAGTGACAGGCAGCAGCTATATTCAGCAAAGAAAGTGTTAACATTGTGTATCTGCTTTTGTGCCAGGCACTGTTCTGAATACTTATACTCATTCTATGATTTAACCCTCACAATCACTGTATGAAATACGTACTGTTGTTATTCCCGTTTTACAGATGAGGAAACTGAAGTGTGGAGAGGGGTTAAACAGATTCTCAGAGTTTATACAATTAATAAGAGGATATGGCAGGATTTGAACCCAGGGAGAGTAGCTTTGGTTGCTTGTTGGGTAGATTTTGGGAGTGGGACTTAGGCATTCTAAGTCTTAGGCATTCTGCTGGCAGCTTCTCTAGCAGGTAGATTAAGACTCACATCCAGAAGGAGGATGTGGTTATAAGCTGAGAGACTTAGAGCCCAGGAGATGCTTGAGCTCACTCTTAAGGCAGATGCCAAAACATCAACCCAGCGCCTATTTTTGTGATGAGCACTGAAGAACGTTCTGGGTGGTATAAATGGTTCACATGCTCAGCTGCTAACTAAAAGGTTGGAAGTTCAAGTACACACAGAGGTGCCTTGGAAGAAAGGCCTACTTCTGAAAAAATTAGCCATTGAAAATCCGATGGAGTGCAATTCTACACTGAGACACATGGAGTTACCATGAGTCAGGATCAACTCGAGGGCAACTGTCTTTTTTGGAGGAGTCATCCTTTGGTATAGTCTACCGTAGAATAGGGTTTCTCAGCCTCCACAGTATTGACATGTTGGGCTGGATAATTCTTTGTTGTGGCGGCTGTCCCATGCATTATAAGATGTTAAGCAGCATCCCTGGTATATATAGAGTATAGGGACATTGCCAGCAACCTCCTCTAACTCTTATGAGGGGGAGACAGAGTCACATGAGCAGTATCAACCCATAGCTGATTCCTATGAGGTAGAGATCAGACATGTTGCCTAATTCCAGCCTTTCTACCAATTCTGACAGCAACAGTCCCTCCCATGACACTTCTTCTCTGCTGCATTTGATAATTCATTACAGTAACCACATACAACTCACAGACAATACTCACTGTTATGGAGTTTATTAGGGAAGTAACAGGTTACAATTCAGGATCAGCAACCTCAGGATACAGTTCTTCAGTTAGGATAGCTTCTTCTCACCCATGCCACAGGCACACTTCTCTCCGGCCTTGGCCTTTCCTGGCTCAGGCCAATGTTACGAAGCTCTTTTAGCCTTTGCTGATAGTCACCCACAGAGGCACCCTACTCCATAAGCAAGGCTGAAGACACTCAGCTTTTTCATTTGATGGGCTGGGAAGCCTGCCACTCTGTCACACACGGGACTCTTGATTCTGCCGCCGCCATCTCTCTGCCGTCTCTTTGGCACAGGGATGTCAGGTTCAAAGGACATGCTCTATTCCTGCCTCTTTTGTCTTGATGGTAGAGATTCCCCCCTTTCTGTCTCCGGGATAGTTCATTTTAAGCCTAGCAGAATGACAAAACTGACAAATTCCCATGTTAGAGTTCCATACACCTTATTTGCATGGTCTCACCCCCACAAGGGTGTCATGTACCTTATTTATGGTATTAGCAAGCAGTCCAATCCTCTGGGTGGGCCACAGGCACCTTGCATTTTCATAGTCACACCCAGTCATCTGGTGAGAGTCAATAAAGACCATGGCTAGAAGAGCCATATTAAGTAATTCACTGCACCACACCTGGTCTCCACTCACTAGATGCCAGCGGCACCCTATCGCCCATCCCCCAGTTATGATAGCCCAAAATGTCTCCAGAAGCTGCCAAATGTCCCCTGGGGGCAAAATCTCCCACCTGTTGAGAGCTACTGCCCTACAGAGTCTCCCTCTTGATTGAACTGGAGAAGGAAAGAAATGATTGAGGGGCTCACCCCAGGCAGGACTCAGTGCCTGTTCCCTGAGAGTGGCTTGCCTGACAACGTAACATGGGTGGGTTGACCTCTTCCAAGGCCATGACATGGGTCAGTGCTAGATAGATAGATGTTTTATGAGCTCTTCACATTTGAATTTCATGTCGTTTAGAGAAAACTCATGAAAATATAAAGCCTTGCACTCTGCCTGAAGCTTAGGCTTAGAAAAGGGCATTAGAGTAACAGGCCGTAATACCAAAAAACAAACTCACTGCTATTGAGTCAGATCCGGCTAATAGCAACCCCTCCTTGGGTTTTCGAGGTGGTATCACTATGGAAGTAGATTGCCCAATCTTCCTTCTGAGGAGTGGCTGGTGGATTTGAACCTCTAGCCTTCTGGTTAGCAGTCAAATGCCTTAGGCACTACGCCACCAGAGCTTCCACGGGCTGTAATGGTGCCATGGAATTGACACCTGGTGGGAGTGGGCAGTCAAGTGGGCCCCAAGCTGATTACCTCGGGTTGAGAGAGGGCAGGGCATAGAAGCCAGCTTATTCCTCACAATGCTCCATGTCCTCCCAGCCCCAACCTCTGCAGAGCTAAGAGCCTCCCTTTAGATCAACTTTGATTCCTAAAAAATAAGGTGTGGCTCACCAATTTTTTTTTCCCCTTCATATCAGAGACAAGGGAGGTTGTGTAGCTAGGGAGACTGAGAGCCCCTCTAGAGCTGAGGCTTCAGTGACAGCTCAGTTAAGGTCATTATTTATTCCTCAGCTTTTCCTGGAGTTGGGAGCCACAGCCTTGAGGTGTTCCAACATTTAGTGGTTTTATGGAGAAGGGCAGTGCAGGCCTGACATATGGTAGGCACTCAGATATTTGTTGAATGAATGAAGCAGTAAGTAGTAGAAATAGCATGGAATCTATAATAGGCCAGACGTGAATTTGATGTTTAGGCCTGCACTAGGTCCATAAAGTCTGGTGGTTCAAATCCACCAGGCACTCCTCGGAAGGAAGATGGGGCAATCTACTTTCATAGTGATACTGCCTCGGAAACCCAAGGAGGGGTCGCTATGAGTGGGGTCTGACTTGAGGGCACATAACAACAACAACAAAGGTCTGTGACCTTAGGTGCTCATGACCTTCAGTTTTCTCATTTACAAAAAGCAAATGACCCAGCCTTCTAGGGCTGTTGTGAGGCTTTAAAAAATAAGATTTTGGCTAGTGGTGCCTATTCAGTATTGGATTCCTTTTCTGTTCTCTTCTCTTTAGGTGCAGTGAGAGGTGGGGTATGGGGAACTGTAGAAATCAGGAGACAGAGCCCTTGCCCTCTGGGAGTAAAGTGTAGTTGTAAATGAGATTTGCATACACAGAACAGCTGAGACCAGTGTGAAGAAATCTCTGCACAGACTCCTCAGGTAGCTGTGCTGCTGTCCAGTGTTGAAGAGGGAGTGCAGCAGTGGGCATACAGTAGAGGTGAAGAGTATGGACCCTGAGCCAACTGCCTGGCTCTGCCATCCACAGTCTCTGTGACTGTGGAGCAATAAGCTAGCCTGTCTGGCCTCAGTGTGCTCACCTGTGAAATGGGGATGATGACAGTTCCTACTTGGTAGGGTTGCTCTAAGGATTAAATGGCAGTCCCTGGGTGATACAAAAGGTTAAGCACTCAACTACTAACCAAAAAGTTGGTAGTTCGAACTCACCCAGAGATGGCCTCAGAAGAAAGGCCTGATGATCTCCTTCTGAAAGGTCACAGCCTTGAAAACCATATGAAGTACGGTTTTAATCTGATGAATATGGGGTGCCCGTGAGTTGGAATCAGCTCAGTGACTTTTTTTTTTTTTCTGGTAAGGATTAAATGGATTAGTGAGTTTATAAAGCTCTCTAACTGTTAAACATTGTTACATGTGGGGCTTAAGGGCATTCAGCATTTGAATGGGGAGAGAGTGCTTTATATGTGTTTTGAATTAAAGCAAGTTGAGTTTTGTCAGAATTGTGCAGTGTGCCCTGAGGTGGCTGGGGACTGAGGGTGGCAAGGAGGCCTCCTCCTCTGTCTTGGCTGACCTCCCCTCCCCCCACCTCCGGACTTGGAGACAGTGGTTCTCTCTCTGCTCCCCTCCCCAGACTGCCAATAACAGCACATCCAGGCATCTGAAAGGCTCTCACCCGCTTGACTATGAGCTTACCTACTTCCTGGAAGCTGCCCTCCAGAGTGCTTACGTGACCAACCTGAAGAAGGGGTAAGTCTCCAGGCTATGGACCTCTCTCTCTAGGTTGGGTGCTTTTGATGTTCTGTTAAATCTCGCCTCCCACCTTTCTGGTGTGTGTGCACACGTGCTCTCTTGAGAGGATCCCATGAGGCTGGTTTGTGTCACATCTTTTAGACTGAGAGTTTCAGGAAGGTGCTGAAGCAAATAAAGCCACACATACTCTGGGTGTTGGGGGCTCAGGGAGACTCCTGAGAAGAAAAACAGAGGTGGTTATCTTTAGAGAGAGAGTTCTAGGGGCCTGGAAAAATAGTGTTGAAAGTGCAAAGTGCCGTGAGCTGCGCAGCAGCACACTCATTTGGTTTTGGTCTCCAGTGTCTGAGGTGCTGATAAAGTCATTTTGCTTCTCTGGGCCTTCATCTGCCCAGAAATCCAATGGGAAGGCTGCTCATTCCAGCTTCTAATGGATGGTAAGATGCTGGGGGAAATGTAGTGAAAATAAAAGCTGGCATCATTTTGGTGTTTCACTGTCCCTGCTGATGAGGTGGCGGAAAAGATTGTTATCCTATGTGGTAACTTGGAGGCCCCTGAGAATACTCCCCTACCTCAGACCCAGGAGCCCTGGTGCCTGAATGCTTTCTTAGTCATTTGTTCCTTGGGTGAAGAGGGGCCCCTCCTTCTGTGAACAGCTCAGTGTGAGTGCTTCCAGTTGGGTGACAGGCAGGAAGTGGTTGCTTGATGGTGAGTATTGGGTGGTAGTGGTGAGGGAGGGGTGAAGGTACAAAATCAGGAAGGCACATGGCAGGTAACCATGGCTCTGACGTGGTTCTGCAGATAGCCCAACCCTCCTGCTGAGAATACCTCCATCAGTGGGAAGGGTCTCCTCCACCTCTATGAAGCAGAGATTTTGTACCCCATTGGCTCCTTCCTCTCCCATCATTACAGTCCTCTCCTGACACCCAGGGCTGGGGCTCTGAGGACGCCAAGGGCAATCAGAGTGGAGCCCCATGTTACTGAATGTGGTCAGTCCTTCACTGTGGGTAGTGCCTCACACCTGAACCAAACAGGTGAGGAAACAGAGAGTCAGGATCACAGAGCTTTCTTTTAAGTTACTGGTTGAGGTTCTTTGAAGGCCCTATTTCATTTTGGTAGGTTTGTTTTGTTAGGTTTCATTTATGCTCTTAATTTAACTTTTTAAAATAGATGATTCTTATACATAGTACCAAGTTAAAAATGTACAAAAGAATAGACAGCACAAAGCCTCCCTCCTCCTCCTCCCCCCAGCCTCCTGGTTGCTTTATAAACAACGTTTCAAGAATCCTCTGTATCATCCCAAAGATCATCTTCAGCATACACAAGCAATTATATACATGTCTTATTTCCCTTTTCTCTATAATTGTTCTTCCCTTGCCTTTTTTCATTAATGTAAATATGTTGAAGATTGGTCCATTCCAAGACTTAGAGAACTTTTCTTCTGCGTGGTTGTATTGGAGTCCATGGTATGGGTATAGTTTAATTTGTTTAACCAGTTCCTTATTGATGGGACATTTAGGTCACTTCCAGACTTGACTGTTTTAAACATGCCCCAGAGTCCAGACTATACATTACCAAAACCAAAACCAAACTCGCTGCCATCAAGGTGGCTCTGACTCATAGTGACCCCTTGGGTATCCGAGACAGTATCATTACGGAAGTAGATTGCCCATTCTTTCACAATGTACGTCTGTCTACAGGAAGAATTCCTAGACAGGGAATTTCTGGGTCCGAAGGTGTGAGCACTGGTACTTTTGTTGGGTTCTGACAAATTGTGCCTGCTGAGACTGTCCCAGTGTCTGTTCCACTGGGCATATGATGACACCTATTTCCCCACACCCTTCAACACAATGCGCTATCAAACTTTCTGAAGTTTTACTTGGGTGATTGGTGAAATATCATCTCAGGGTTGTTTTAAATTTTCATTTTCTTAGGGGGTGAGGTTAATTATATTTTTGTTTTCAGAACTGTTTGTATATTGTATATTTCAGAACTGTGTGTATTTCAAATACATCTATATATATATATATATATCTATATATATATATATATATATATATAAAAAATGCAGTTTATTGATCTTTTCCAGCTCTAGTTTACATAAATACATGTTTATAGTGAAAAATTTTAAAGCACATAAAGATGTAAAAAAGGAAAATAAAAGTCACATATTTGATCTTTCAATCAGGAATTGGCAAATTATGGCCCTCTAGCCAGGAGCCTGCTTTTGTGAGTAATTAGGTTTATTAAGGTGCTCGAGTGGCACAGTGTTTAAGCACTTAACTGCCAGCCAGCTGCTCTGAAGGAGAAAGATGTGACAGCCTGTTTCTGTGAAAACTTACAGCCTTGGGAACACTATGGGGCAGTTCTACTCTGTCCTGTAGGCCTGCTGTGAGTTAGAATGGACTCTGTACCACAGTGGGTTTTAGTTTTTATTGGAACACAACCACGCCCCTTTGTTTGTTTCATCCATGGCTGCTTTTATTAGCAACAACCACAGCCTTAAGCTTGAATGTTTAGTGTCTGGCCCTTCGCAAAAGAAATTTGCTGGCCTCCACTCTAAACAGCTGCTGTTGACATTTTCATGTATGTTATTCATGGTTTTCTATGTACAGATATGTAGATGTATTCTTTCTTTTTTAACAACAAAAGTGGTACTCTGGTACACGTTGCTTTGTAGCCTGACTGTTCCATCCAAGACTTGGTGGGCCCCTTTTGCGATCTGGCTCATTTCTCTTCTTTCACTTGCCCTGTGGGGCTGTAGGGATGGGGGGATGATGGTGGGCCCAGGGCTAGGCAGGCGCACAGCAGATTGGGGCAGGTCCTGTGCAGCTGAGACAGTCAGGGCAGGCTTCTTAGAGGTGATGTGCTTGAGCTGAGCCCTGAAGAAGGGAAGATTCACAGAGATGGGGAGCCAGGGAGAGGCAGAGAAAATGGGACAAGGCTGGGGAGTGTAGGACAGGAGATAATCTGTGGCCAAATAAGTTTAGGAAACACTGGGTTAAAGGCCTGTTGGAGCCTTTAGAACATGAACCATTGTAGTAAATTTCCAGGAGATAGCAAAGGTGCCTGTTGTTTCCATACTCCGTCTGACATGGAGCCTATGTCTGGGGGTACATCTCTAAGGACCACTTTTTGGGAACCAGTGCTCTGGCCCTGAAGGTAGTCTGACAGAAGCATGGACTCTGGCCAGCCAGCTTTCCATCCGGCCTGGTAACCTAGTCCTGCCAGAGCTATGCCCAGGTCCCTTTTGGGGTTTCAGAAGCACCTGAGCTTTTAAGTCTTCCACAGCCTGGAGGAGAAGGAAGTGGAGCCCTTACCCAGAATGTGGAGCACCCCATTGTGAGGGCCCTCCTAGGAAGCAGAGGTTGCAGAGGTGGCTGTGGACAGCCTGGGGAAGGCCATCTTGAGGGGCCTGGGCTCTTTTTCTTCTCTTTCCCCATCTCCCCTTGCTGTCAAGTAGCAGCCCCAGAGTGATAAGAGGAGGGTGGGATGGTGCATGAGTCCCTGCCTTTCAAATAGTAAGAACAGAGTGAAGGGTCCACCCTGCTCTCTCCCACCTGGCAGAGCGGGAACATGGTGAAGCTATACCTTTAGGGCCAGCAGACCTGGGTGTGAATCCAGCTCCTGTACCCAAAGCCTTTGTGGCCATGGGCAGGTCCTTGGAGCTCTTTGTAAGATGGGGACAATGATAGTGTCTCCTTGCAGCATCTCTGAGGGCATGAGATGATGCATGATAGCAGAGAGCCTGATGCATCACCGCTGCTTAGAAACCACAGCCCTTATGATTATTCTCATTTATTTTTATATTTTTCATGCAGCTCACAAGTAGACAGGCTCATGACCAAAGTATGCACTTTTCACCTTTTGTTTTTCTTTTTCTTTGTTGAATTTCACAAACACCATGCCAGGAAGGTGGTGGAGTCCTTGTTTGGTACATGAGGGTCTGGAGGTCCAGAGAGCTTATGTGCTCCCCTCTAAAGGTAGGGCCAGTCTGCAGCCCTGGGCTCCTCAAACCACCCTACAGCTGTGGAGGTGGGGTCCCAGCTGCCACCACCACTCCTGCCCCTCCGTCTGCTTTTTCAGTTGTAGAGCTTCCGTTTCAGAGAAACAGTGGCCCAGCTGGTTCTTGTTTTTACTGCTCAAGCAGTGCCTGCCTGGCTGCCCTCTAGCTGGAAGCTGCTGTCATTCTGTTTTCATGTACAAGGAGCTGCTGCCGGGAGCCTCCTGCCCATGGAGAACCCTCAGTCTGCCAACTGGGAACTCTCGGGGATGAATCCAGGGCACTGCTTGTAGCTAGCTCCCTGCCTGCAAAAATTTGGAAGAAGGACTGTTAGTACTTTATAAAGTTGAGGGTGAACCTGGGAAAGTTAAACTCCTGCAGCAGTAATTGGCAACCTATGGCCTCAGCCTGTTTTTGTAAATAAAGTTTTATTGAAACACCCACACGCGTTCATTTACTTATCTCAACAGCAGAGGCATTTGGGTAGTTGTCACCAAGACTGTATGGCCCACAAAGCCTAAAGTATTTACTATCTGGCCCTTAAAAAAAGAAGTTTGCTGACCCCTGCTTTACAGAGTTTAGGGAGTGCCTCCCCACCCTCAGCCCAAGCCCTGCCCCCCCCCCCCTTTTGCAGGCACAAAGGACAGAGATGCTGTTGTTATGTATGGAAGATGGAGAAGATTTCAGGGGAGGAAACAGTTCTAATTTCAACATTCTGTGTCCTTCATTCATGTGACAGATATGCCATCATAATTATACGTGCCACATATTAAGTGCTAAATCTGTGCCAGGCACTGTGTTAAGTACTTTGCTTGCATGATGATATTTAACCCACCCAACCACCCTCTGAGGTAGGCAGCGTTGTTAGGGATGGGAAGCTGAGGCATGGAGAATTGAAATGACTTGTTCTGTGCTGAGGCTGAATGATGAGTGCAGGCCCCACCTGACTTTCAGAGCTGACACTCTTAGCCTCTAGGCTGCATAGCCCACAGCAGGG